GAATTCTACTACCAGTCCTTCATCACCTTAGACGAAATAGGGTGAATATATCTCATTAAATTAATTAAAGCAAATGCGTCATATAAAATAAAACCCATCTTCAAGTTTCGCATTTTATGACAGGACATTATTACATTGTGGTCGAGTATAAGCAAACCTGACCAATAACCTAGGCTGGTATAAGGATACTGAAGTTTCTCCAACAGTATCACGAGAAAACAACTATTTAGTCTGTGATAGACAATATTATTTACATAATGAAAAAGACTTTAGCAGAGCTGAGTGGATGTGTAGGCGCATGTGTAGAAAGAAGCAAGAGACGAATTTTTGGTTGTGGGCCGACATTGCAAGTCACCTCCGCCTAGCTTGGTCTTTTTGGTGACGTTGGGCTCGTCTGGCTTTCGGACCCCTACGAATAGCAGAACGACCACCTTTACGGCCACCGCGTCCCTTTCCAGCTCCTCCGGCTTTGATCCTGCGTTTAATAGAGGCTGCGTGTGCAGCAGATGTCGACTGGTGTATCGAGGGGTCGAATTCGCGGCCACGACTGAACATTGATGACTCGAAAGTGTTTCGCTTCATGCGTTTCTTGATCCCTCCGTGGCTGTACTTTATATTCTTGTGAACACGATTGTGATTAATTCTGAAATTAATGTTTAAATGTCCATAAATGCAGGAAAAATAAGTTAATGTTTGTACGCGTAAAAGGGTTTCTGCCAGCGGCAATGCTGTCCTGAATACATCGCGACAGGCAAACTAACCATAATTTGAATTCAAATCAGTAAAACATTTGAGAATGTACCCAGCCAATGGTCCAATGCTGGAAATTACGAATAATATGGCACAGAACACGGGACTAGGTACGTTCAACAAAGTCTCCCTGATGCTCCGACTAAATTACGAAAACAAAGTCGAACCAACAAATCAGCGAAGTTTATAGATACCAAATTTTAGCTAGTAAATCCGAAGCAAAAACATACTGACTTGTTGGCTAATTAGGAAGATAAGAGTGCGAGATCTACTTAAGACATATGTCTTCCAAAGCATAATTTTTAACATAATCTTATCAAACTCATCAATGTGGATAGTGCTGAACTCATAAGGTGAATATTTGATAATTAAAGTAGACACAATAGCTTATTATATACTAACAAGCCCATGCATAAATTTCATATTTATTAAAGATATACAGGTCTGTATGAATCCTCCTTCATTGAATACATTCTGAAGCAAGAGAGGAGTAAACTTTGAAAAATAAAAGCTCTATGATGGCCCAAATTTGCAGGAGGCTGTCGCATGATTGTCATTCTGTTACACATTATTAAGGAGAAATATGACAGCATATACTATAACGAGACTTACTTTCGACGGTTAACTAGATCTTGTGGCTTATT